CCTACACAGCTGTGAGGCTCATCCTGCGCTCAGGACAGTCCTGCCGGCTGCTTCCTGCCCCACGCCCCCTAGCGGCTGACGGCGGCTGCGCAGCCACGGCGGGGAGAGAACCAGTCTCCAGCAGGACACTTAAATTCCCTGAGCCCTGTACCAAGTGCTGGCAGGCAGGGACGCCTGATAAAATACTGAAGAATGTCATATGGCAACGGGTCCTTCCTCTCATGAAGCGCTCCTAGAATCCAGAGCTGGGGAGAGCCTCCAAGGGTGGATATGAATGTGCGATTCTCAGACACTCACCTGGCTGACAGCCACATTAACAGTGTCCTGCCTTGGGTATAACTAAAGACATGAGACTGTTCACAGCTTCACCCTCACATGAACAAAGATGAAAAGTGAGTGGAGAGCCGGCCTGGGCCCAGGAGGGGGCCGAGGTGAGTAAGGAGGGGCTCCCACTGCCTCCTCGCGCCCTCCCTCTGCTCCCCGCCTCGGCATCCATGTCACTCCTGTGGCTTCCACTGCTTCCTCCCTGCAGGGACCCTCCCTGCAACCCAGCCGCTCAGAGCACCACACGCGTTCCCAGCGGCGGACAGGACAGTCACCTCCCGCAGGCACCAGCTGGCCCTCTGAACGGAGGCCTCCAGCCACCTGCTCAGCGGGACTCGGCATCGCTGTGATGCCCACCTGCACCTCACAGCTCATTCCGCCACCAGGCCGCGCCCAGTCCTCTGCCACCCCTCCGCCAGCCCCTCCTTCCCGTCCCCCAGTGCAGGGGTGGGTGGGGACTCACCGAGCTGTTGAGGCCATTCTGGGAGGCGGTTTTCTTCACCTCTGGCTTGGACGCGATGATGAGGTAGGTCTCAATGCCCTTCTCCTCTAGGTAATCGCAGCGGCTGCCCCCCTCGCCGGGCTCCACGTCGAACTCTCCTTTCAGGCAGTCCAGGGTGCTCTGGGAGATGTGCACGCGCCTGCAGCGCAGCCAGAGAGGCCCTGAGCACGGGCCCTCACCCGCGCCCTGTCCCGGTCCAGGCTGCCGCCCGGGCCAGTCTCTCGGGGTGCATGGGGCAGAGGGCCACCCGGGGCAGAGACTGGGAGGTCCTGTGTGGGCGGTGTGGCCCTCCCGGCCCAGGCTGCCGCCCGGGCCAGCCTCTCAGGGTGCATGGGGCAGAGGGCCACCCGGGGCAGAGACAGGGAGGTCCTGTGTGGGCGGTCCTGTGTGGCACGGGCGCGGTGGGCACTTACACCTGCGCGGACTCCCGCTCGAGCAGGGCCTCGTTGAGGAGCTGGTTGAGCTCGTGCTCGTCCTCAGAGGCGTCCACCACCCGATCAGCCAGGTCCTGAAGGCGCAGCCTCCGGTGAGGGTTGGGGAACGAGGGGTTGTCGGCCTACAAGGCAGCGAGGCAGCGTTGGGGGGCAGGTGGGATGCAGTTGGACAAGGACATGGGGGTTGGGGGATCCCTTGGCTCTAGAAACCATTTTCCAGGGAAAGTCTTCCCAGTGCGCCCACGCAGCTCCTCCCGCTTGGATCTGCATCCAGAGCCCCGGTCCCTTCTGCTTTCCCTGGGACACTGTCCCAGGCCCTGTGGCCCCCACAGAAACGGCGGTGGTCACCCCTAACGGCAGCCTCCTCGGGGAGCGCTGCCTGGCTCTCGAGCCAGAGATCGGGATGCAAGACCCCTGCTGGTCAGCACAATCCAAGCACATCCTGCTACGAGGGTGGGGGTGACACGCCACACACATCGGCATCTGGGCATGGGACCTGTGGAGTCTGGACCTAGTCAGAGAGGTGAGCTTAGTGCAGCCCTGAAGTCTGACTCCCAAAACAGTCCTGAAAACTAGGGTTTTTCATGGCTGTCTTTGCTGCGCTCAGTCTATAGGACTCTGGGACATCAGAGCTAGCTAGGCAAGGCTCAGAGGTAAGCACCTCTTTGTGTGTTTTTTAAAGATTTTTAGAGAGAGAGGAAGGGAGAGGGAGAGAAACATCGATGTGAGAGTGGAACACGGATCGGCTGCCTTCTGCACCCCCACTCCCAGGGATTGAGCCCTCGACCCCAGGCATGTACCCTGACTGGGAATCGAACCAGCAACCTTTTGGTGCATAGGATGACGCCCAATCAACTGAGCCACCCCAGCCAGGGCGAGTACCTCTTTTGATGTTACCCACCCCTACCCCATGTAAATGACAAGGAGACTTGGGGCTGGGGCTTGGGGGAAGGTGACTTGCTAGGGCTACACTGCTAACAAGGAGCAGAGCCCAAGCTGGCGGCTAGCTCTCCAACTCTGAGCACAGGACTCTTCCTGCGGCAACAGTCACCTCCCCATCCCCTGCCCACACCCTGGCCTTCAGCCCTGCACATACCTGGGCATCCTGCTCCTCGGGCTCTTCCGATGTGGAGCCACTGGTGTGGACACTCCCATTGGACTCCTTGGTCTCGATGAGGGCAGGGGAGCTGGGCTTGGAGGACGCTGGCGCTCCGTTTGGCAGGGCCTGCAGTGGGAAGCAGCGCCATCAGGGACTCCAGACACTGCCAGCTGCCCACCATCCTGTGGCGCGTCTACCTGCAGTCTGCAACCTCCTCGCTAGCGTTCAGAAGCCTTGTACACTTGGAAACTTCACTACTCAATTCCTCCTCTAGTGTTTAAATGCTGTAATTTTCTAGTATTAATTTCTACTATTAAAACTTGTCCCAGTACTCCCATTCCTATTCCTAAAACAGTACCTCAACGGCTCAGTGATTCACAGGGGTCATTTTTGGCGCAGAACCCTGTCAGATGCCTTCCAAAAGCCTGAATATTCCATAAACCAATGTTCCTTGATAAAATAAGTTAAACACTATCACACAGGGAAGTCATTCATTCATTAAATAAGCATTAACTGAGTACCTACTATGTGATAGGAACTGATCTAATTCCTGGCGATACAGACAAAATGCCCTGACCTTGGGAGCTCACATTCTAGGGAGGAAAGGCAGTCAGCAGTCAGTGAAGTGGTCACAGCATGTAAGGAGAGAGAAAGTGCTCTGGAGGAGGAGGAAGTCAGGAGACACGGATTGCTGAGTGTGACTACAAAGAAGAGGTCTGGGAGGTGTCACCATGAAGATGGCATTTCAATAAAGGCATG